GTTTTTCTTTAATGCTGTGACCTTCAGGACTGAGAGCTTTTACAGTTCTTGTAGCAGCAGTAATGCTCTGCGGTAACGTATCTGAGCCAACAGATAAAAACTGAAACATAAGTAGGGAATTAGTGACCACTTGCACATATCACCTTTTAATTAAGGCACAGTGCTGGTTTTCACCAAAGCACAGATCATATCAGGTACACAAGTACGATATTGAAAGCTGGAATTTTAATACGTTTTTGAGATAAGGGAGAACAAAAATAAATTTTGCTATGGAAAAACATTCTTTTAGAAGTTGGTCTTCAGCTTGAACTTAGTCTTACACAATTTTATGAAATCACATGTCAACAGTCTTCAGATGAATTTGTCAGATTTGTCTAAACTTATTTCCAAGTATTTCGTCACATTACAAAGGACTGTTCATTATTGCAATACGATGAGATACTTTAAATATAGTAAAATATCCTTTTTTGTAGTCTGTGAATTTAGGATGAAGGGTTTTACTAACACATAATTGTACAGCAGGGTATTAGCATGGAAATTACGTTTGATATTTGATACCCCTTTTGATAAAGAGCTTTTTGAATGTATCACATGCAGTAGCTTGTTTTTGCTTTGTAGAATTATCTATTTGTCCTCTGTTCTAGTTGCTTGTGTGCTGAGATCTGAATATGAAAAAAACCCAGAAAAATTTACTTTGGTTTTTCTCTGTCATAGGATTACGTCAAAGCAGGTGGCATTATTCAAGAAGATATTTCTGAGGCTTCTCTGATAGTAGGTGTGAAGAGACCTCCGGAGGACAAATTAATCCCTAAAAAGAACTATGCCTTCTTCTCACACACTATTAAAGCCCAAGAGGCAAACATGCCCCTTTTGGATGAGATTCTAAGACAGGTAAATTGCGTCATAGTGAAGACAACTGGCTGTTAGCATGGGGTGGAAACCGAACTTAATGCTGAAGTGTGATCGAAAGCTTGCTGCCTGGTATGGTTACTTTCAGCATGCATATTTGTAGATAGCTAATGAGGACTGTTTTCAGTATCCTTTCCTGGAGCTGAGCATTTCTTGCTCGGAGGATCTCATCCTTGCAGTGCTACTGTGTTGATGTGAGTAAGGCAGATGAGTTGTGAGCGTCGTATGCTCAGGAGAGGTTCAGGCTGCGTGAGCTCGAAGGCTTGTTGGAAAGCTGTTAAGCCAGAGTGCGTATAGGTTGTTACAGAGGGAGGCCAGTTCACCCAGAAACCAGCATCCTCTTGGCAGAGGATGCGAATGGGCCTGCAGCAGCTGGAGTGGCACGTTGGGGAGCTCTGTGCCAAGACTGCACAGGCAGTGCAGAGACTCTTTAAGACAAGAATTTAAGGCATCCTTTAGGTTTTTGTTTTTATACTAAAATCTTGTTAGGAATGACTTGCCTTTCTCATATATGCCCATCAGTCTGGAGGAAGGATAACAAAGGCGTATGAAAAGGTTCCTAGGAGAGCAACGTGCCACTGACTGCATTCACTGAAAATTTTAATACTCAGTTTGCTATGTATTTTCAGGAAATTCGACTGTTTGACTATGAAAAAATGGTTGATCATAAAGGAATGCGAGTTGTGGCCTTTGGAAAGTGGGCTGGTGTAGCAGGTATAGTGCATAAAGTAAAGGCAGGCTTGCAACAAGTAACTTCTTGTAATACTTCTGGTTGTCTACGTTTCCTGAAAGTTGAGGCTTGTAATGCGTTTTTAACTGCATTTTAACTCTTGCTTTTAAGAGCTTTTTTCCATTCTGTTTTGTGCTCTCTAATTTTGATGAGACAATTTTGATGTCAAATAGTCCTGTGGGTTCCTGGCAAATCTACTGTTTTATGTTGTCTTGAAGTCCCGTTTGTCTGTTCAACTAATCTGAGGCAGACTAAATATCAACGGATGAACTGAATAGGCTTTTGAAAGAAATGGCTCCTGTCAGTCCTGCGAGTTTGAGCATCTGTTTGTCACTCTGTTATCCATTTACACTGATTTTTGTGAGGCATGGTTCTCATTCCTTTCTACTGAACTTCAACTCTGTTTCTTCAGGAGACTCTTTTTATTATCTCCTCCTTTGGAATCTGGTGATATGGATGCATCTCATAAAAGGATATCTGAGTATTAAATAGTGCTGAAATGCATAACAGCCAAGAGCAGGTTTAAGGTCGTGGCCTGCGATTGAATTTCTCCTGGTTTTATGTAGACTTTCTTTAGAAGTAAAGTATTAATATTGAAACATGGGCAAAAATATCCAGGATGATTTTAGACTTCACTCAGTCTCTGCAGTTTCTAACTGTGCATATTCAGAATTAACACTGATGGTCTGATTTTTCTGGGTTTTTGTTTTTGTTTTTGTTTTTGTTTTTTTTTTTTATAACCATAGGAATGATCAACATTCTACATGGATTGGGATTACGATTTTTAGCCTTGGGACATCACACTCCCTTCATGGTAAGAGTGTATGTGTGTGTATTTTTCTTTAGCAAAGTGACATTCGAACGTCTGCTAATTATCTGTATTTGAATATCGAAAATATTTTGATGGTTCTGTGCCTTTGATTTCAGCACATTGGGATGGCACATAACTACAGGAATAGCAGTCAGGCTGTGCAAGCAGTACGGGATGCTGGGTATGAAATTTCACTGGGATTGATGCCAAAGTCAGTTGGGCCCTTAACATTTGTGTTTACAGGCACTGGTAATGTTTCTAAGGTAAGAATTCTGTCTTCAAGATGAAATGCTGTATTATTTTTAATAGAACTTCTTGGCATTTGATACGTATCAGGGTAATTGCGTTGATGTGTTCATTTTGTTTGCTTGGACTTCAGGTTTTCCTTTGCCAGTAAGAATTTTTAAGTACCCTAAACTAATGCCTTTAAGATGAGATCATGCCTGCCAAGGCTGACCGCGCTAACTTCTTACCATGAAAAATGAGTTAAGTCTTACTACTCCTCCCTCCTTTCCCCCCTGCATGGTTTTTGTCTCCCCCTTTTCCCTCTGTTGACTCTGTGCTCACAAGGTATGTCGAATGATCCCTTTAAAGTATGGGGGAAATAATTATTTTTTCTAATACTTGCTGAGTTTTTATACCTGCTTTTGTAGCAGTGACTTGGCTTACAAGTGCTGGACTTTAGAGCTCTTTTCTACAATATAGGGAAAAGGCTTACCCCTGGTTTTGGCAACAAAGATCAGTTAACTAGGCTCCAGCTATAAAGTGGAATCACTGCCTACGTAAATGTGTGCTTTCAGGACAAAACGATGGCATGTCTGAACGGCCTGTGTTCTGTGATCACAGCGCGTTGGGAAAGTCAGCTTGAAGTTCTTTGCCTTTAGAACAGTCTGGTTGTTGAGAAGTGGCTTCAGGGGTCTTCCTTAAAGAGAAACTGCTCTCCAGAGGGGCAGCAAAACCTTCTATTGTGGCTGAGTTAAGGCTGCCCAGCTCTGCCATTAGAAATATAAACCAGGAGTTGGATTGTGGGTCAGGCATAATGCAGTAATGGGGAATGATGTAAATTCCTTGTACACAGAGCCCAGGCGGCTTTGTTTTGGATAAGTGGGGGTATGTGTGAAATGGTTTGTACATCTCTGAAGATGTTCTCTGGCAGAACTGTCAAGTTGTGCGTGGCATTTTTATGTTTGTTTTCACACACCAAATGAGCAGTGTTACTCTACCTTTTTAATTCTCTGCTCAATCTGAATCCTACTTCTTGGTTTACAGGGTGCTCAAGAAATGTTCAATGCTCTCCCATGTGAGTTTGTGGAACCACATGAGTTAAAGGAAGTTTCCAGATCTGGAGGTATGCTGTGACAATAAAGTGATTGAAAACACCGTAACCCTTTTTGTCCAAGTGTAACAGCTAATTTATTTTATTTTATTTTTTTTTTTAACCTCAGACCTCAAAAAAGTCTATGGGACAGTGTTAAGTCGTCACCATCATCTTGTAAGGAAACGTGATGGACTATATGATCCAGTAGACTATGATAAACATCCAGAACTTTACACTTCTCGCTTTAACACTGATGTGAGCATTTCTTTTGTTCTTTTATGAAATATTTTCCACAGAGTGTTGGTAGTTACTACACCTTCATGTATCCATCAATTGAGAGAGCATTCATTTAAAACACTAGACCAGGTGCTTTCAGCTCCTTAAAGTACCAGATGAGAACATCAGGCATCTGTAACTTCCTTTGCAGATTGCACCCTACACAACTTGTTTAATTAATGGCATATACTGGGAACAACATACTCCTCGCTTGTTAAGTCGACAGGATGCTCAGAAGCTGCTAGTGCCAGTTAGATCTGCTGCTGGTCCAACGGAGGGCTGCCCTGAGCTACCACACAAGTAAGACACTTCAGTTCACTCCTAACAATTCTGCAGCACCATGATTAAGTTGTAATGTTAGGCAGTTTCACCACAGTATCTACCAAATGTTTCTGTTTCTTACACTGTTCCTCTTGCATGTTGCAAAATGCCCCATTGATTCTGCTTTCGTCCTTCTGGGATTTGCAGTCTTGTGTTCACAGTTTGGGATTTTTAGAAACGTCGCAGTACAAATGATTGACAGGTATTGGCTGTCTTTCTGCAAAGGTAGTTCTGCCATTGATCCTTGTGCAGAATCCAATACAAACAGTGTGACATCTGGGGAACGTACCTACTGCACCGTTATTGCTAGAAGTTTCTATGCCTGAGCAGAGCTCCTACCCTGCCATTTGCCTTGTACAAGTTCAATAACTGTTCCTTAACACCTCTAATTTTTGCAACAGGTAGTGGCAACGGTTCAAAACCCTGAACAGCTTTAAGGATGGAACGTGGGGTGCAAAGCCAGGGTTAGTCTCCTTTCAGCAGGGGTGGGAGCCACCCTTTCTCTAATAGCCTTGTGTAATAGTTCTCTGGGAGACTGGCCTGGGGGTGGATTTGGGGAGGTTATGGCAGTGTGTCCTGGTGAGGAGGCAGGTCTTTGTCTCTTCTTTGCCCACTCTTGACGCCTTTCTTTCTCTCACATGACAAATAAAGAATTTAAGTGTTAGCCTGGAGTGGAGCCAGAGGTTGTGAGTTAGGCTAATGAATGCTCCACCTGTACCAGCTGTCTGTGAACTGAAAGGAGGCAGCCACCTCCTTTGGTTTCCCTTTACAATGATGAAGTTATTCTAGCACAGGACTGCCCAGTCACAACTCAGGGGAATTGGTGGATGGATAATGAATGGGAGGTATTGGAAGTACATGGAGTACAGAGAAAAAACAATGGATGAGTGGATTCTCCCGGTCTTTGAGAAGTAACTCATGAAATATGGATCCCGTTGATGTGAGTGGAAATCTGACGACTACAGTAGAGCCAGATTTCCATTGTGTTCCTGGAGGTCATTGTTTATGTTGGTTTGACTTCTAAATTGGTTTAAGATGAATGAAACTACAAGTCTGATAGATCTTCTCACATTTCTTTTATTTCTTGTTCACCTGAGATCTCTTATACCTATGTTCCTTAGTAATTTGGGTAATGCTGTATTCCTTTCTCTTTTTTATTTAATCACTTTAGACTTCTGGCAATATGTGACATTTCAGCAGACACTGGAGGATCTATAGAATTTATGACGGAGTGTACAACAATTGACAGTCCATTTTGTATGTATGATGCTGACCAGCATATTATTCATGACAGGTGGGAGAGCCTTTAATTTTTATTGCTTTCCTCTGTAATTTGTACAGTGAAACATTATATTGAAAAATCATGCATTTAAAGCACTTCTGAAAGGTGGTACCTTTCAGGTACCAAGGAGAAGCAGTTTGGAAGAGCAATGTTCTCTCTTTCAGTGTTGAAGGCTCTGGGATTCTGATGTGTTCCATTGACAATCTGCCAGCACAGCTTCCTATAGAAGCAACAGAGTACTTTGGAGATCTGCTTTTCCCTTATATTGAAGAGATGGTAAGGTTTTAGGTGTCCAACAAGAAGGTAAAAGACTCGGACTTTGGGCTGCTTGTTTGTTGCTTTTCTGGTCTCCTGTATACATTCAAAAGGAATCTGCTGTAGAACATAACTGACTTTGTACTTCCAAAAAAAAGCTTTCTAAGTCTTGAGGCAATACTTTCAAAAAGCAACATGTGAATGAGACATTAGTGACCTGGATGTCTTAGGGTTTTGTGAAGAACACTTTCTGTAGGCAGGAAACAGGCTCTGGCAGGTAGTTCATTACTCCTGGACACTGCAGTAGATGTCTAAATCTGATTTTCTTGGTGCACTCAACAACCACTCGCAATCAGAGTGCTGTTTGAATTCCTGTATTTTCATAAAAGTCAAATGACACTGATCAGGGCCAGGAGAACTTCAGATCTACAAGACATTGGTATTGTTGCATGCATTTAAATATTGTGTAAAATCTCAATGTTTTACTCTGAAAAAAAAATATGGGAAATAAAATGACCTGATTTCAAATAACTTATCTCCATAGCTGCTATCAGAAGGCTCAGAACCTCTTGAAAGCCAGAATTACTCATCTGTTGTTCGAGACGTAAGTTTTGCAATTTGGTGCTCTGCTTGTCTTCCTCTGCTTTAAAACGTACAGGTCCAAAAAGCCCTGAAAATTTGTTTCATGTATTTCTAGGCAGTGATTGCATCCAATGGCTCGCTGACAGCCAAGTATGAATATATCCAGAAATTGAGGGAGAGCAGGTAATGTATAGGTTCTTAAAGTTTGTTAAGGATTTTAAAAAAAAAAAGCCTGCATTCTATCTCTCCTTTTGCATTTATTTACTCTTGTGTTTTGGTGGAATACTGCTATATTGCACTGTGTCTAAATGTCTCATAGCTTCATGATTTCCTTTTTTCCTCATGCACGTTGCCTAAATCCTTAACATGTGTTGTTAGTAACTTATATCAAAGCTGAGAAGGTGATCATTTTTCTCTTTCTTAGCTTATGAAGACTGTTTTAGAGGCAGAAAACGGCGTGATGCCAGTATTATTCTGTTACTCCTTGCCCTTTTAAAATGGATATAGCATACAGTCCTTTGAAAGGAATGGCTGAAAGGAAAAGACTCTCTAATATACCTTGAATCTAGTTTCCTTTAGTGTGGCTCAAGTGCTGTGCTGTATAGCATTGTTCTGTGACTGGATGTATTCAGGAGCCTCTGTGAGACTCTCAGACTTTTCATTACATTCTTGTAGCTACAGCTTTAGCTACCACTTCATCCGTACCCTGTCTCGGTAGTTATCAGCCAGTGGTAGCATGAAAGAAGTGGATTGAGTGGATTAAGCTAACAAAAGTATAACTAACCTGTATATCCCTGCCCTTCCCCTTGCTCCCTAGTATTAACAAACACCTATAGTTTACCTATGAAAAACGTTAATTTGACAGTAAGTGGGCACCTCTGGCTTCATGTTCATGATCAATGCCAGCTGTACTATATATAAAAATATAAATAGAAAATACAAAAGTTGAAATTGGTCTGAGCACAAGCACTGTGTGCACTATGCGCTACAAGCAGAGTGTGTTGGCTTTTGCATGCCAAACTTCTCCAATTTCCTTTGGGAGGTTTGGGAGTTTTGGTTATGAACTTGTGCATGATGAACTATAGATGCATTTTCCACCCAAAGTAACAAGCTGTTTGCCTCTCAAAGACGTCAGCTCACAGTGATTTTAGTTGTGTGCTGTTTGGTAGACCACCTCAAGAGACTCTCTCAGTAACAAATTTTCTTAGTCCTCACACAGCGCAATGGTCTGGGTTTTTTTGCTTTTTCCATAGTTGCTTGCATGGTCTTGTGTGAACCACCCTGAGAATCTGGAGATATCATTCCAAAGGGTTTTTTTGTGGGCAGATCTTTGATATTTCTGCACACCTGTGTGTTGCATGTGATGCTCGTTGCTGTTGCTCGCTTAGCTGTCAGAAAAGCAAGACCTGCAAACAATACCCTCCTTTACCTTGCAGACTTTGCAGATAACGCAAATGAAATCAGGGACTTTACTGCTTAAGGAGTAATGGTTTAGCTAGAGATAGGCTCTTGTTTAGACCCTGTAGGAATTATGTGGCTTGTGTTATTGCTCTAACAAAGTATTATTCTGTGTCTAGTTTCGTTTCTGATGGCTCTTTTTAGACTGATTGCTTATACCCTTTGGGTGTATGTGAACATTTCAGACAGATAGCCAGACTGTATGAGCTGAACCATCTTGCGTGCCATCAGAACGCAGGAGCAGTTTGATTTACTTAACTTATCTCTATCTTTTCACCTTTACTTGCTTTATGCCTGCTACTGGCTCCTCATCCACAGCTGCAATAACGTATCCCATTAACAACGTAAACCTCAAAGTATTGCTGTTCATAGAGTAACATAACTGAATTATTTAAACTCGTACATAGAGAATAGGCATAATCTGCAATGTTCTTTCCTGGGACTGTGTAGATTCTGTTCTCACTTTTGATGGGTCATTTGGCAGCTCATGTTTGTGCCTGTGCTGGAGCAGACATGCTATGTTTAATCCAAGTGTGACCTCATTCTAGACACTGGAAAAGTTTTTAATAAATATGATAAGAAGTTTGATTGCAAAATCCAGCTTGCTTTCATATAGGAAGTCTCCCATTCGTCAACACTGTTGCTGCAAGCTCCTGCATACCACTGTTGCTCCTTATAAGTAAAGGGTGAAGAGGAATTCTTTCTCTTCCCTTGCCCATGAGGGTGGAGCTGTGGAAGAAGATGTTCTGTTAGAGTTGATAGTAGTAGGAGGAAGGTCCTTGGTTTTGTCATATGAAAGGATATGGTGGATTTAGGAGGCTTTCTGTGAATGGATTAAATCATCATTTAACTTCTTAAAAAAAACCCAAATGTGTAAAACTTGTATGAAGGTCAAAATGTAAAGTAATCTCTAGTAATAATTTAGATAGATTAGAGAGGTGATACATTGATACATCCCATTCAGATTTAATGAATTGAAAATAATGTCTTTTAAAAAAAATATTTAATTAAGCCTGAAATTGAGGAAGGGAGGATGAAACATAGAATCATAGAATGGTTTGGATTGGAAGGGACTTTTAAAGGTCATCTAGTCCAACCTCCCCTGCAGTGAGCAGGGATGAGTTCAGTGTCTGGAACATCTGGAATTTTGGAAAGTAATTCAAGCTTTACAAATGCTCAGACACAGTTAGTAGGTGGGAATGTGCTTCCGACAGATGATATAGATGCATTTGGTATTGATTTCTTCACTCAGGGTAGTCTTTTTGTGCTATTCTTTGAGGCCTTGGGTTTGATAGCCAGGAACTTGATTCTTGGTCTGAATAGAGGTCTTGGTTTGTAGACTTACTAAAACATACTTATTCTGTTAACTTTAGCAGCTTACAGTTTCCTTCTTCTGTGTGGTTTTTAATTTTCCCTGTAACACCTCCTAGGGAACGTGCTGAGTCGCTGAAGATGGGTAATAAGAAGAGAGTTTTATTGCTCGGATCTGGCTATGTTTCTGGCCCTGTACTTGAATATCTCACTAGAGATTCCAACATTGACATCACAGTTGGTATGTAAGACTTTTTCTTGGTTTTCATTGAAAAATTATGTCTAATTTAAATCTGCTAGTGTGGCAGAACCTTTCTTATAAGTAATAAATGGATGTGGTTCTGATAACAGATAAAGAAAATCTTTGTTATTATGCACAGCAGAAAAGGATTTTGTAGCTTTCTGAGCATTTAGAGTTTATATAATTGATTTGAAAATGACATATCCACATTAAAAGTTTACTGTTTGCATGTGTAACTTACAGGGAAATTAGAAGTATTTTTCCTTCTAACCTGCTTTGGGCTTGGGATTGGTTTTGTAGCTAATCAGTCACTTTTGTTGGTGCTTGGCTGTGTTTTCAGCCTCACACAAAAAGAAGACGAGATTGTTTTCATAGACATCTGTATGAGTGAAACCTCTGCTGTTGTTATAACCAGTACTGTGGTGGTAAACCTTCAGACCCCGACCTTCCCATCAGCCCCACATGCCTGCTTGTTTATTCCTCTGTTTCAGTTTTACCTGTAGCACATTTCAGGTTAGGCACCTCAAAAACACCTTTCTGTTGAATTTACCCTGATCCTGTGACTTCAGATTTAAAACCCTGGCTGCATTGCCTGAAAGATACTTTGCCGGGAGGTGGTTTCTTACTGTTGTATTGCTGTTGATTTCTGCTGTTGTTGCTTTGGTTTGTTTTTTTTCCCCTCATGCTACTTTTGTACTGGGCTGCTTTTACTATGCTTTGCAGTGTTAACCATAGTACTTTTAACCCTGTGGAAAAGATTTACTAGGAAGAAGAGGGGAATTCTAAGGAAGCTGCACCCTTCTTTATTAGCACTGCCTGATGCGCTGAACAGGGAAGGATTACAGCAGTGTGCAGTGTCCATCCCCTCATCCGTATGGAGGCTGCGTCTAGTCCCTGCAATACAGCAGCAGTAAGGGAAACCAGGTGAACTGGAAGATCTGTTTTGCCACGCACTGTGCAAACACAGGAAGCGCCTCTTATCTGCTAGCTTAAAAACATGAACTTTCTATGGCACACGCACAAAAAACCTCAGAAGGAAAGAGACGCAAAGATGTTACTTGTCTAATATTTGGCAGCAGGCAGGTAGATGAAGAAAGCATAAAATGCACATCGCAGTGCCACATTTGGGTCCCTCCTGTTAGGCTACACCACTTTAAATCCAAATGACGAAAATCTTAATTGGGAGACCTTTATGTAATCAACGGTTTTCGGTTTCAATTTGTAGACGATTTTGCCTAGCTCTTTTCTCTCAGCCCAGGTTGATTAGTAGGGTACGGTGAATCACCCCCTGGCAATGTTTATTTCCCATTGACTTTGGAAAAGCCATAAGGAAATAAGGCCCTAATTTAGAGACGCAGATCATTTTAATTCTCTGTAAGCCTGTGCCTCACCTGCTGCCTTCTTTACCCTCTCCTTTCTCCTCGCTGCGTTCCCATTGCCGTCCTTGTGCTGGCAGCATGGTGAGCTGGGGCAGGAAACTGGTTCACTTCCAGTCAGATGTGGCAAATACTGGTTGCTTTAACCCGGATCTCTTTTTCAGTTCTGCTTTCCTTCCGCTGGTAAGTGCTGATGGCAGTAGGAGCAAGATAATAGTAAGGAACAAATGGAGGCAGGCAGAGACTGGATTTCTCACTTTTAGTGATAATATTAGCATGTGCAGGATTGGTAGGACTAAGCCACAGGTAAATATTGAAACTAGTCAGATTGACTCTGGGCCTTTTAGTTGTATTTGGCCTAATCAAAGGCTTAATGTTTTTATCTCTGTTATGTTAAAAATGGTAAATGATGTGCATTGTTTTTGTTTTAAGCTATTAAGCTGTTCTTGGCTATAAATGGAATTCTGTTAAAATGTACTGAAACAGTTTTGAAAGATTTCTTTTTTAACTAGACTTATCTAGAAATGTATGGCTATGTGGAATCAGGGATGGGGTAAGTTTGTCTGGGCATGTGTTTGTTTACTCAATCTGTTAGTTAGCTGTGTTGAACCTGCACGTTCATCAAGACCTTAAAACTAGCTAAATTTTTCCTGTCTCCCTTAAACCAAGCACAGCCTGAAAAAGAAAAACAAATTGGCCTTTTTTTCCTCCTGGACTTCTAGTCAGCTTCTTGCTTTGCAGTGAAGTAGTCTGTGCTTTTGTGGAAATAGCTGCTGCCATCAAAAACTGATTGAATACTTCACCTCTGCATTTGTTTGGCCAGGTTAGAGAAGCGACCGTTTTTAAAACCAGGAGAAAATATGTTCTGCATAGTGACCTAAAATACTTCAAGCCTTAAGATACATTGTTGCACTAATTGAAAATGGTTGGTTTTCAGCAGATAATGTTAATCCAAAACCAGTTTACTTTTAAAACACATTGGGCATACAATTTCTCTGTTGTAATCTTCCCTTGAGAGTCAGCACAACACAGTATTTCATTAAATGGGGAAGCACCAGGCATGCCTTTTGTGTATTTCTGTGTGAAAGACAAAGCAAGAACAAAACCTCTGCCTGTTTCAATGCTATTTAATTATTCTGTTTCACATGAGGTTGTAAACCTGCAAGGAAAGGCACTTTTTTTGTGTAGGCAATTATTTTTTATTTTTCCCCCTACCTTTCTAGTTGTAGAGTGCTTCTCCAGCAAATTGACGAACTCCTGAATGCCAATAGTATTTAGCATATATAGGACCATGATGTGAGTTTCTGGCTTTCTGATTTTCTCCTACACCTTGTTCTGCCAAGTAGACCACTGGATGACTCATTTAGTTAAGGGTTGGTAGACCCAAGGGGTGATGTCCCCCCCAAATCAAGCATGAAGATCAAGTCTATGGTGTGATTGTCCACCAAATAACTAAAGAAATGGAAAATTGCTGCTTGGTTTCATAGTACTGTATGTGGGATGTCATTGAGTTCCTACTCATTACTCTAACTTTGGTTCTCTTTCTCTCCTTCTTAAAGTTTTTAATTTGTTTGATCCTTTTGACTGCCTACCCCTAACAGTTTTTCCACTAGAACTTTATCTCCAAAAAACCATACTGGTCTGCCTGAATGGGCTAGTGGGACTTTGTTTTGACTGCGTTTAGTAGAGCTGTTGTATTTTTCTGCTGGTCGTCTTTATTTTATTTTTCCCAGACCTCACATGGTAGGATTACTGTTCTAGTTCAGATGAGCGGCTGTCTCCTCTATCAATATAAGCAGTTACTACAGCTCTTGCCGCTTTCTGGTGATCTTTGTCTAAAATTTTTCTTGAGCCTGAATGTACACATGCAAGCACCCCTCTTCTGTGACTGTTATTTGCATTCTTCACCCTCAAACGCTTTCTTTAATAGATCTGTTTCTACATCCAAAATAACAATGCATTTCTAAGGATTCCAAAAGAATTTCCTTTTATCCTTCTCTCAGTGATTTCTTTACTTGTTCTTTGAAAACTTTGTAATGTCTTTTTCAGTACATTTTGACACTTACCAAAGAGTGGCAGGTGTTCATCTGAGATATCAAAGACTGAACCTCAAGTATGTATGTTTTTTAAAAACTAGGGTGTACCTTGCCACAGGTTTTTACGAGGGGTCAGAATTAAAGACATGGGAGTATGCTTTTAGGGTGGATCACAACCCTGCCTAGCCTATAATAAAAATGTTGAGGTTTTGTAATGAGTTAATGACACTTTTGGGACACATTTCTGCATAAGAGATGAATTCATTCAAGCAGACTGTTTTCCCTCTCTCTGAAAAACACTTAGGTGTGAATGGGTGCTTCTTTTTGTTTAGTTTATCTGTTTTCCCACCATGTGGGTGCTCAGTTACCTGGCAAGTGTAGACAGTGCTGCTGTAGAAAACCATGCCAGGAGGATGTATGCACACGATGCAAGTGAGCCAGTGAGTTCTAGGGTGCCCCACTGCACAAAGATAGGTTTAAAAGTCCTTTATCTCATGTTCTAGACTTACTTCTTCATAGAGTGGAAAAGAAATGACTTCCAGTTTTGCATAAATAATTTTTGTTGACCTAGTCTGCTGATAGGAAAACTGCAGTTAGAACTTTTGTTAATTTTAGGTACACCCACAAAGTTGCTAATTGGTTGCAGGTCTGTTCTCTTTACACAATTTAGCAGTGAGTGGTTCTTCTGAGTGTAAGTATTCATTGTAGATTCTTGTTCTTGAGTTATAGCTGCTATGGTTTGACACTGGCAATTCAGAATAAAATTGACTATTTTAGGGGAAGTGAGGTGCTTTATGCCTGATTTTTTTTCAACTGTTAGTGAAGGAAAACATCCACGCTATTGTTTCTCTTTGGGAGGAAGGAGGTGTGTGTAAAGCACAATTTATATATGGGTGTGCTTTGGACTTTCCTTCATCTTTAGGTAACAGGTGATGTGTTTTACTTTTAAAACAGCATCTGTCATGAAGGAACAACTTGAACAACTGACGAAAAAATACAGCAACGTTACTTCAGTTCATATGGATGTCATTAAGCACGAGGAAAAGCTGTCCACATTGGTGAAGAAACATGACCTTGTGATCAGGTCAGAATTCTGTGTGAAACATGATAGGCTCAACCCTAGGTCGTGCTGCTTCTTTCTCCTAGTTTGCTGACCTAAATCAACACGGTAACGGGTTTTTTTTAACGCCAAAGAACTGGGGTCATATTTGTGCATGTAAATAGTTGTAACTGGCCTCTGCCTTCTGACGTAGCGGAGCATCCAGACTTTCAAAGGGGCTTTGACTGCAGCGTCTCTTTAGAAGTGTTCACCAGTTATGTGGACAGTCTTCTTAGTGTGAGGGGATCGAATTTGCATGTTTGCAAGAGCAGGCAAAATTCTGACATCTCGGTCATTTCTCCTGAATATCCCATAAAGAAAAATCTCTTTCCAGGTATTGAAGCAGGGGAGGAAATGGCTTCATAGTCCTTGCCGTTTTGTTCCTTTTGCCACGGATGTCATGAGTGTTGTTCCCTTTCCATGTAGAGCATGCTTTTCACAAAGTACTTTAGCAAGATCATTGTAATGCAAGCTTTCTCAAGGATGGTTTTACAGTTTTGCATCTTCTAAACCTCCAGCATGCCTGTTTAGAAGGTGGCCTTGAGAAGAGGTCAGTGGCTTGTTTTTTACAAAGAAAAGTGTGACAAAAGAAGTGCTGTCTAAAGAATGACTCCCCTATTGTCCTGCGCCCTGTTCTGAGTGCACACAACAATACTCTACTGATAGGGTACCATTGCACTTATGGACGTATGAAACTGCTCAGGGCAAGGCAGGTATGACTGCTGCATTTACTTGAGCTCTTTTGTAGGCATACAGAAAATATTTGTGAGTATCTTTCCAGTGACAGCATAAGTAACTGGCTGGATTTTGATGTTGCATAATTCTCCTTCATTTGTAGTTTGCTGCCTTATTCAGCACATCCTTTGGTTGCTAAGAAGTGTATTGACAACAAAGTGAACTTGGTAACAGCCAGCTACTTAACACCAGCTATGAAAGAACTCCAGGAGAGGTAGGTATGAGTAGCACCTTTCTGGTGTTGCTTCCTTCTTTAGTGCATTATCTGAATATTTTGCAGTCTGTTACACCTGCAACACTTACTGTGAATTACTGTTTTCTGCATTCTTTCTCCTTCCCTTACTATGATGGAGGACTAAGTACCTTTCCCCAAAGTTGCCTGTGGAGGCTGTGGCAGAGCAGAGAAATGAGTGCATACCCCAATCTGGTCAGACTAGTGCTCTAAGAATGTGCTAGAATGTGCACACTAGAATGTGCTGTTGTGCGTGTCCCATCTTATTCCATGTTAATGTGCCTTCCCCTCTCCCATCAAACCTGTTAGGATGCTTGAACTGGGCTGATATTCGAGCTGAGCAGCTGGGCTGTCCTGTTCTACCAGTGACAGCCAGCTTGTTTGTCATCCTTCACATTGCCCTGATAAAACCTCATTCTTGGCTTATTATATCTACAGAATATCCTCCTTCATGCCATCGTCTTTTGGACGGGCCCACTATATTAGTCTCAAATTGGTGACAGTACTAGCTATTTTAACGTTACTGTTGTCCTACTTATTACACAACTGGAAGTTGTTTTGGGCATGGAGCTTCATCTAGGTGCTCCTCTCAGTCACGGTACTGGAAACTCTGAAGTGAATTCAAGTGAGTGAGATGAGAATTGTACATGCTGTGTCTCTGCAAAAGATAAACCAGAGGAAGCTAGACAGGTAGTAAACCAGTGTTGCAAGCAGTGAGGGAGGTTTAGGGGCCTCTCCTCCCCTTGCTGTGATGCGTGCATATATCGTGCTCGCAACAACAACAAAAAAAAGACACTCCTCATTTGTCAAAACATGAAGCGATTTTGAAAATAAAATAAATCACCTCAGTTTGTGGCGGTAAGTGAGCTGCTCTGGGAGCATAGGCAACTGTTAAAAAAAGAAAACCCAAATGTTTGTAATAAAGTGGGCCTTTCGATCTCTCTCCCCGCAGGAGCTGTTTAGGGCAATTATGACTAGCTCTGTGCTGTCCTCTGCATTGCCACTGTCCTGCATTATATAGCACTGTCTGGGAGAATGTGGGAGATGGAGTAGCTGGTAGGAATTTCTTTTTCCACCGGCCCCAAGAAGTTGCAGCAAAATAAGAGAAACCAAGGCTAGAATGACTCATAGACAATTGTCACTGTTCAGGTTTTAACATCTGCTTTTGTTTTTTCCCACAAGCTGCAGACAGAGCCCAGAATTTACTGTGTTGGGGATGGTTCCCTGGGCCTTTGTGGGACAGATTTCCTGAAAAAAAAGGCCAGTAATAGTGAATATTCTGACAGATCTGCATTTCTGTTATTTTCAGCGTAGAAGCTGCTGGTATTACAGTTATCAGCGAAATGGGTTTGGATCCTGGTCTTGACCATATGTTGGCAATGGAATGTATTGACAAGGCAAAAGAAGTTGGTGCTACGGTAAGGTTGGCAGGTAGTGCACAGTTCTGCCCAGATTTTATTAGTAAAGTTGTTCCTTTAATACTGCCCAGTTTTTGGGCATGTCACTGATGTGTAACGGACTCTGGACACCTTACTTTTTCTGATGCTTGCAATTTACTGCTGACTAATCCAATTGGTGAGACCATCAACTAAGATGGCTTTGTCCCAGTGTGTATTTTGGTTTCCTCTCCTCTACGGGCATTGCCTGCAGTGGTTAGGGTTGGAAGGGACCTCTGGAAATCATCTCATGTCATCAGTGTGACAGCTTGACACTGTTGCTCAATGAAATTCTTTTAGTTTCCCCTGTCGATCTCCTGATTTGGCCCATTTGGGGGATAAAGTCAACAGAAAGTTTAAGAACTAGTGGGGATTCTGCCAGGTAACTCTGCACTGTTTGCATCCTGGTCTGTCTTCTCTTCATTCTTTCTTTCCTGTGGATAAATCTGGCAGGTTGTATCCTACACTTCTTTCTGCGGTGGCCTACCAGCTCCAGAGCACTCTGACAATCCTCTGAGATACAAGTTCAGCTGGAGCCCACAAGGAGTGTTGCTGAATACAGTTCAGTCTGCGACGTATTTAAAAAATGGAGAGGTGAAGTAACCCTAACATTTCCATTTAAAGCCAGACAAAAAAGGTGATGATGGGCTAAGGAGGGAATTGGGATTTGTGAGGTGCTGTGTTTACTTTCAAGCCAGTGACAATCAGTTGCCTAAGCAGGTTGTGTACATCACTTAATCTTATATTTGGAGCCTGATGATGCCTGGCTGCTGCCAGCTTAATTCTTACTTACTATATGGAAACTGATTGCAAAGAAAGAGCATGTTCTGATGGCTAAAGCACTGGATTGAGGTTGGTGTTCTGGGTTCAGCTTCCATCCCTGTTGTGTGTTGCTTTTGCCACTTCATCACCCTGTCTGTGGCTCTGTGAAAGAAAGGTGAGAGTGCGTACTTCTACTTGCTTTTCTGTACTCATGTTTGTAAGCAAAACAGCTTTATTCTGGACTTGCACAGTGTAGAGCAGAACTCTAAATTTCTTTTTCTTTTGGTGCAATCTGTAATACCAGTAACTCACTGAGTGGATTTTGCGAAAATGTACAGTGCTTTCTGATGTGTTTTATATAAGCTCTGTTTTGCTGTTTGTGCAGGAGTCATTAGAGTAGACTTAACCTAGCAAATGTCACTGCATCTGTTTTATGGAAAGATCATAACTGATTTGTGCAAAGCTATTGCAAGCTGTTATCACATTTCTGCTTTCCAGTCCTGTCTGTTTGATCACTCCCACTTGCTCAGAGTAGTTACTGAGCAGGGGCTCTTCAAATGTCAAGGAGATTGCCTTGTATAACCGCTGTAAAGTTTACCTAATTATCTAAACTTTTTGAACTGCAAAACTGAGAAATCTTTTGAGATGTTTTATCATGACATTTTGGTGCTCTAGTGTTCTTATTGCAGTAAGAAAGGAGAAATTCAGAGACTCTACATTGGATAATTATTTAAAAAGCAACAACACATAGTTATGAGTTTCAGATGAAAGGGTCTCTTGGAGAATGTGAAAATGTTTCTTATTTAATTCTGACCTGGTTCACCCATTGCTAGGAAAAATTAGATCATGCATATGAATGATTGACTATGAGAACACTATGCGAGCTTGTCAGTACATTGTGCAATTTTTCCTCCTTGCCACTAAATTCTTAGCTCTTTTTGACTGTTGTGCAGGATTCTTCCAGACTGGTGTCCTACCTGACAAACACAATAAGGTCTTTCGGCATTGCTGCAGACTCCAGTGCTTTAGTCGTTCTTCTAAAAGGAAACCTTGCCCCTTTGCTCAGAAGTCACAAAATGAGTTTGTATCGATGCTGCATAGCAGATCTGTGCATCAGCTGCTTGAAGGGAGCAGGGTTCAAGGCTTTGGTTGGGAGTGATAAAAGAGCTAGTCAACCTTATTTTGTTTCCCTTCAACAGTGCATTCTCTCTGTGCTTTGTAGCTGCAAGTAAAGATACACACGGGCAGCTATTTCCTATCAGTGTATTATCACCTGATTTATTTTCGTCTTAAAAAAAAAAAAGGAGACAAAACCCCGTGCTTCTCTTTACATTTGCCTTCTCCTCCCCCATAAAAAAAGAGAATTAAAAATATTGAGCAAAAAGCAGGGAGCCTATGGGCAGAATCTCCCTTCACACTGATGTAGTTTAGGGGGATGCTCCAAAATTACACTAATGTACGTGAAGTGGGAACCTGCCACTTTAATATAAGCGCAGTAGGAATTAACAGTGTGTGTGAGAAGGATGTGGGTTGTTTTAGCCCTTTGATTAGTAATGGCTGACATAGTGCAGGCTTCTCCATCACGGGATATGGTTAAATGGCTTGTGCAACTGCTTTATTTAGATTGGACCTTTGTTTGCACCAGAAACACTAAGCATGTTGTTCGTATTTTGAGCATACTTCATCTTTTCTGACGTAAAATAAATAACTCTGCACTGAAACAATATTGCTGTTCTTTCACAAAATTTAGATTATCAATATTCCGGCTGGAGGAGCATTACTTGATTCTGTTACTCCGATGGACTTTTTCCCAGGATTAAATCTCGAAGGTTTTCCTAACAGAGACAGTACAAAATATGCTGAGCCATATGGTATTCAGAATGCTCACACTTTGTTGAGAGGCACCTTAAGATACAAAGTAAGTTGTTGTTGTTGTTATTATTAACTGTTGTTTTCCTCAAGAGATGAATGTTGTCATTTTAAGAAAACCGTGTATTTAAAAGTCAGCCTCTTATAGCTCTGTATATGCTATTTATAAGCTCTCCACTATCCCAACTGAGAGATGGTCAGTTGGCTTGCATAGTCTCTATCTGTGTTTCTTTATTTCTCTGGCTCTGAATTTGGTGTCAGATCAAGAGAAGATTTAAAAAAATGTAAATAAATCTGATGGGTTTGTGTGATGTGTGCTGCTGTTATGTATTTTTAAGAATTGATCTGTTCTCTTGAAGTTGGTAAAAATTTGAATTACAGTTTGTTGCTTATATTCTTATGAAAAACATAATGTAAACATCTTACAGAAATGATGGTTTTCCATCAAACTGAGAAAGTTTTTCATTAAGTAACTGGAAATCTTGAATATGAGCAGCTGTAACATTTTGGTCAGTGAAAGTAAAATGTTAAGAGATAAATGTGTTTTCTTTCTAACTGATAGACTCTTTTCCTTTCATTTGTTAGATGCACAAAGCAGAATCAAAACAATATTTTTTCTTTCAGATTTCTTTTTTAGTTATTTTGGTGGTCAATATACATTACCTAAAACCATATTGAACGTTTGAAAAAGCTTTTATGGATGTAATGACATGTCTCTTGAGTTAAGGTTTATGTCAAGGTTTAAGTTATTGTTATTTTGTACACGGCTTGAAGAATGTGTATGTCCTTTCCCTCTTAATTCCTCTGTTGCAATACAACAGGATTTTTTCTTTATTTCTGGGAGGGAGGCTTGCTTAGCAAAAGAAGATGGAAGGCCAATGTCGGGGAATAAGGGTTACAAATTGCAATAGCTCTCTTTTTGTCAGTCTAGATACGATCTCTTGTTCAGAAGCTAAAAATATGTGGAAGGCATCTATCTCGTCATGAAGTCTTAATATGGCAGTATCTACTCTTCCATTTGGTGCCTGGTAAAATTTTCTTCTTTCGTATAAGTGTTAGCGCAAGGAAAAGCAAAAATGTCAGGGTGACATGCAGAGTTGTTATCAGGGTGCTGCAAGAATGACGTTTCTGTGGTTAGTGCTGTTTTCTTAACCCCCGAAGCAGGTCCATCCCTTCGGGTTGGGGTGACGTCGGTAGGGTTGTGTGGAAGACCTCGCCGTACCTCTACCTGCGTGGTATCTACGTGCCAGAACATAGCGCTGCGCAGGGCAGAAGTTCATGTTGGCCTTTTGCACGTGCTGCTCTGTCACAGAGCAGAAAGCAATCCGTTCAGTGCAGAGGCTCACAACTCCCCAGAGTGCCTTTTCTGGCTTAAGTTCAGGTAGCTAATGGAGTCCGTTTAAAAGGAGGTGGCACAGGGATCTCACTGCAAGGCCACCTGAGCTGATAACCTACTGCTGGTGGAGGTGGCTCCTCATTATAATTAGCCCTCTTTCAGGGTGCTTTATGTCCACCATCCTGCTTTTTTAGAGTGTTTCTAGTCACTTGCATGTAAGTGTTTTCAGGTATGTAGCAGCTGTGTGGGAGTATTAATGTGAGACAAACAAAAATGGGCAGAAAACAGTTGAGACTTTTTTTTATTGTGCAGCCTATTGCAGCCTTTGCAGTTCCTTTTAAATACCATTCCACTGCTGTCCTGGGGGTGTCAGATATTCCTGAAGGAAAGATACAAACACACAGGGTTCTTATCTTTAAAATCAATTCATCTGATGTCTGTGCAATCACACTGGTGTAAAGCTGGGGTGAGCCCAGTTCAGCGTTGGGCTCTCTGCATTCAGTAGTTGGTTTATGGGCCAGGTGGCTGCTACGACCCCGTCTGTAATGACGTGCTGGACTTTGAACTCATGCTGTCCAGCTCAGCCCTTTCTTCTCATGGACCAACGCTGCTTGCCATGGAACTATTGATGGCAGAATAATAATAAGTCATTAAAGAGAGTATTGAAAAAGTAGGGGGAGGGGTGGAGAGGGGCTGGGGAAGGTACCGCTCTGTGGCAGGAACCCCACTGGCTGTGTGTTATTGTGGCTGCTTTCCCATGGGAATAATGCTTAACATTACCGTGGTTGTGTCCACCCCTGCATTCAAACCAAGGAGAAATATTCACCTCGATTTCAAGTGATTATTATTTTTAACTGTGTTATTCTTTTATTTCAGGGATACTCTAAGACTATGGGAGGCTTTGTAAAACTAGGATTAATTAACCCAGATCCTTATCCTTTGCTAAGCTCAACCACACCACCTCTAACCTGGGTGAGTTACTCTGATCGCTCTGCCTTCTTTCTTCTGTTTTGTTAATGTTTTTCTTGTTGCTAGGCTTGGATGTGCTTAGCAATGGGAGTCTTGCATTGCATCCTGGTCTTCTCTGCTCTTTGTTCCTGGAAATTCGGAAGATTTTCTTCAGCAGGAATGTAACGCAGTGCTGGAACAGGTTCACCAGAGAGACTCTGGAGTCTTCGATGCCAGAGGCTTTCAGGACTCAGCTAGACAAAGCCACAGCTGACTTGAGTGGCTGGTGGTACTCCTGCTTCAAGTAGGGTATTGGGCTAGATGACCCTTAGAGGTCCTGTACAATATTTTTATGAATTGTCTTAAATTTTCTGTTAGTCAGAATCCAGCCCTCAGTGCTGTGAGTTTGCAGTGCCTGGATTGGTACTGCCCTATGATCTTCAGTGTAAAAGTATTTTTTAGGGCATCAAGAAGTAAGAGATCATGCCTAAAGGAGTATATTAGAATTTTTTTTCTGTTAAAACTCTGTACAAGCATTGTTTTGGTCTGTTATGCTGCTTTTCTGTCTTGCTTACTGATGCCTCATTTCATCTTAATCTCAGCCAAGATCTGACTCCTATGATGTGCTGTTGTTACATTTGACAGTCATCGTTTTGGTTGTCTCTGTGGGCAGACTTGTCAGGTCTGTTTGGCTGTCTTGTGGAAGTTTTTCTTCCATTGTGCAAACCCCTGAGAAAGTAACTTTATTACTCAGATGAACAAAGTTCACATATGTTTCCTGTTTCCTTCCTTGTGCTTTTATCAGCATTAATGTGGAAAAAGACACCAGGCTTATGCTGTGTGATGGTGTGTGGAGAGCACAGTATTTTTGTGATCATGCCATTATTCGTCTTGAGTGTTCTCAAAACCGAGAAAACACAAGGTGAAGAGGCCCAGTCTTCCTTGTCTCTGATCAACATACAGCACTGCTCATCTTCCCAAGCTCCAGGAGTTTTTGGGCTGCCATGTGGGAATTACTTTTATTTTTTTGAGATGATTTTTGTCCATGTTCAATTTTAGGGTTGATATCTTCAAGTTTTCTTTGCAAAGATGGCTAGAATTTCCAGTCCTTCTAGCCTCAGCGAATAAGTATACAGTGTCATGTAGTCTGTGAAAATAACTATAAACTCATTAGTCTCGCTGCAAACCTTGTCTCAGCGATGTTGTTGTATCTTAGTACTTTCCTTTTATCTGCTGTGCCTGGGACACAGAGGAGGTGGGTCAACCTGAGCTTCTAAGCAGACTCTGCAGTTCTTGCTTGCTTTATATCTTGTTCATAGCTCCGTTTGTCTGCCTTGATGTGAATGAAGCAAGCAGTAATTAGCACCTAGATAGCAAAAAATGGCCTTCAGATATGCGTAAGAATCTTCAGAAAGCTTTTTGGTAATATTCCCAGGATTACCAGAGCCATATTCATATCATCAGTCTGTTTTCTTCCTTTTGAAAGGGATGGTCTTTGTTTCTAGACCAGCTGAAAGATAGCTTTAAGTTCCTGACTCTCTGGCTGTCTCCAGGTGGTTTCTCATTCACCCTAACGTCCTCCCAGCTTTCCTTGTTTATGCAGATTTCTATGTTCTTTCTTCACTGCCAGAGGAAGGGATAAAACTAAAAAATAGGGGGAAGCACCTGAGTGGTGGGGTACAAAATGTTTTAGGCAAAAATTACCCCTATTCTTTCTTGTGATTAAAAATCTCAAACTATCGCACTTTCTCTGTATGCATAACCTGTCTTCTCAGAAGTCCTGGATATTAGCTGACCTTAATGGAGCAGCGGGTTCTCGAAACCTTGAGTGAAAAGGAGTGGGAACACATATCAGGCCTTCAGGAACTTTTTTTTCTTTTCTTCTAATACAGAAAGAGCTCATGTGCAAACTGGTTGGAATTAAGTCACCTGCTGAGTACCATGTTCTTAAAGAAGCTGTATTTAGCAAACTGGAAAAGGACAAAAGTCAGCTGGAGGCAGTGGAATGGTAAAATTTTCCAGTGATTTTTTTTTTTTTTTTAAATAAAAAAAGTTTGCAATTTTACCCCTTTTGGTCCATGTTGTGACTGTTAAACTGGTATGCTGAACAAGCTGGAAATTATAGGACTGAGACTAAGCTGTGGATAGGCAATGATGTCTCATTTCTTCTGCCAGGCTAGGTTTATTGGGAGATGAACCAGTTCCAGCAGCAGATTCCATTGTGGGGGCTCTTGCAAAGCACATGGAGATGAAGCTGCCCTTTGGTATGTGAGAAGTTCTTCTTTTTCATGGCTTTGAGTGGAACAAGTCAATATCTCTTACCAGCCTCAATTAGATTAGTTTGCTTACCTTTATTAAAAAACCTTCATGCTAGTTTTTTTAATGTCTTGCGACATTCACTACTCCCCCAATTTATCTTTTTCTACCCCGTTACATATTTAGTTTCATCTTCATATTCACTCCTCTCTAATAGTCCTTACCTTAAGTCGCTTCCCTGGTACACGTGCTGTGTATGCATAGTGCTTCGCTCATCAGGAACCTCATCTTGTTATAGCTGAAATACAAGTAATGAATAGTTTATATGCTTTTCTTTTAGGCACTGGAGAGAGAGATATGATTGTTATGAGAAATGAAATAGGTCTCAGGCATCCTTCTGGTCATTTGGAAGACAAATTTATTGATCTGGTTGTCTATGGTGATAACAAAGGATATTCTGCGATGGCTAAAACAGTAGGATATCCCACGGCTATTGCTGCTAAGATGGTTCTAGATGGTAAGTGACTGTTCAGGCTTCAGCAACAGTATTTCATCACTCTGGATCTTCCTGCCTGTAGAAAGCAGATGTGTAGTGTTTCTGCAGTGTATGTACATATTATATATTTTAAAAAAAATTTAATCAAACTTTTCCTGTTGTCTTTTAGGAATTTTTAATCTGCATGTTTGGATGTTTCAGTTACTCTTCTTAATTTCTTGATCTATAGAGATTTTTAGTAATTTAATCTTAAGTGTTTCACTTCACTTTTTTTTTCCTACCTTTGTCTCAGGTGAAATAGATGCCAAAGGTATGGTTATACCATTGACAAAGAATGTTTACGGACCAATACTTGAGCGTGTTCGGGCCGAAGGCATAGTGTACAGTACTCACAGCGTTATCAAACAGTAACTGGAAGCAGCAGATGGAATCGGGCTTTGGCATTGTTTGGTTCCCTCCTCCCCTTTAAGAATCCCAATTTGGACCAGCTAAAGGCAGCACCTGCCATTTTGCACACAGGTGACGCCTTCCATAAAACCCATCGCCTGACTTTCATGTAGAAACTGCAGATACCCAGATGCACAAATTGTGGTGTTTTCCTGTTAAAACTGTTACACTTTCATGTACATGTTTCAGCATCAATCAGATCTTTCTTTATATCTTTCCCAAAATATCTCAGGAGTAATTTTTTAATAGAGTTTATCTTCTAAGTGTATAGGGTTATTATTGAGGCAAATTTAAGCTGAAAGGAAAATCTATTAGTGGATTCTTTTGTGGTAGAAAGTCCTGGTTAATGAATTCCATTGATTAAGTTTGATTGTTCATGTGGTAAAAATAATATATCAGAGAAACAGAGATGAAAGTGATCCTTAAAATTTGTCTTGTTGTCCCTTTCCTTTTAACAGTATTTGTGAATGTTTTCACAATAACAATATGCAAGAAATACTTCAGAAATTGTGCACTACTAGCAAATAAGATCCTGTTAAATCTTGAAAATGTGTCGTTCTTAGATATTTGAAATCTAGATCTTAATATTTTTGAAATCCCTCTCTTACGAATGTAAACTTAAATTACTTGGAGGAGGGAAGAGGTGTAAAGCAAGCCTGCCCCCGTCCCCTTTCCCGTCACGGAGCGAAGCCGGTTGCGGTACGTTGAAATACCTGCTGTTCCGTGGTGCCTTGCGCTGTGAAGAGAGCACGTCGGGGTTTAGCTCTGCAGCTAGGAAGGGCATTCTGAAACACAACACAAGCTAATGTGCTTAGAAGCCGCTCCAAATGACATGTTTACTCCTTCCACTTACACTGTGTGCCTCGTCCAGGTTAAGTAATGTTACAAAGGGAATAGACTGTGTAGCATAAGCAGCTTTGAAATGCAGTAGGATTAGAGGTTTAAATCACTACTTTTGGAGTTAGCTTCTGTCCTTTTGCTATTATGCTTTTGAAGCGTTCATTTGGGAGCCTATGCATACTACTCAATACAGTGCCGCTTCAGACTGATGAGAGTTTGCAGCGTACCGGCTCGTTTGGGGGTAAGCGCTGTGCTGCACAGCCGTGCCTGCCCGGCTCTGGCGCCAGTTTAGCCGCATCAGCCCAGAATTGAACTTTAGCCCCAGTGCAGCTTCTCTCTGACAAAACAGCAGTTGCTTCCTTCCAGTTCAGGGATGCTTCTGTGGCTTTTGCTCAGGGATTTCTACGCTACCTTGCAATGCAAGCATGGCTTAGGCATCACCAGTTAGCCCTGTGAGATGCAGCGCTGTGGGCAGATACCATTTGCACTGGTACCTGTGCAATTGTCTGGAGCTCCCCTTTTCTAAAGCTGAATACTGACGCTGGAAAGTGTCTGCTTCCAGCTTTGCTCACACGCGCACTTTGCTGATAAACGCACAGCCTTTTACCTCCTGAGAAGCGTAGTGCTATGCTCGCGGTCCCGAGGGGCTGGAATTCCAGGTGTTGCTCTGCCCGCCAGGAAAAGCAGCCATAACAGTAGCTGAAGTTTTGACCTCCAAGTCTTGCTACTCAGGATTTGGATTTTCTTTGTGCATGTGTCATGAAATAGCTGCTGCAACAAAAAGGAGGGTGAAAGAAGCCAAAGGGAGAAGGAGGAATGAAGGGCAAAGTATTATTGTCAGAGAGGAGGGCTTTTTATACTGAACCACTGAATGCTTTTGTACTGTCAAATTTGGATTCTGTTACAGTGCCATGCGTGTGCTGAGTATCAGAGGAAATCCTGGCTCCACTAAGTTGGTTTACTTCCCACTGACCTTGCAGGCGGTTGGGCTGTTGTGTGGCTGGTACGTGCGACTGGGGTAAGGATGGAGCCTGCAATGAATGTTCAGCGCTCTGCTGCCTTCTCCTCCCCCCGGTAGAGATCGAAGGTCTACAACTAAGGGTTAAAATTAGACTCGGATCTGCTGGTGCCTTCCAGTCCAGTGCTTGGTGAGACCAGGATTTCACTGAATTCTCTGTTCCCTCCTTTACCCCACAAATACACAACTGCAGAGTTGTGAATCTGTGTGTATGCATGCACCTTGCTTGCTTTTCTGCCCAGGAAATGCAGTATGCAAAGAAAATTGGAATTTTTAAAAAGTATGTAATCTCTTTGGAGCACAAAAAGAAGGCGCTACAGAGTGTTTTCTTCAAGAAACACTGCTACTATTTTTGAAACATTTTGTATCAGAATATATTTCTGTTTCCCAGTGCAATGCTGCTTTTCGTTTTCTAAGTTTAGACTTAAATGAATTTATTGCTCAGCTTTTGTATGAAGATTAGACTTCTCAGTTCTCTTTGCATATTATTGGAAAGATAATTGTATCTTATACACAAGATGATTGCTTGAAAAATAAATCTGAAAACCTGTGTTTTGTCGTCACATCGTCTTTACAGTCTAATGAGATGTACATGAACGGGATTTGTTTTTTTACATAGGTGGTTATATTGAAAGGGTGTCTACATATGGATTTCTCCGTGCACGTGAAATACCTTTCCATACTTTTTGCTAGACTCACAAGAGAAGACTCTTCAAGGATTGTTTAAGCATCCACATCTAACACCCATATATATATTTATATACATACATATGTGTACCTAGACATCATCTTCAGCTATAATCTTAAGAGATGCAGTTTTTTAGTACGTGTTTTGTGCTTGGGCATGAGGACAACTACTTAAGTGGAAGGCTACAGTATATGTATAATGTCTCCCTGTGCCCCAGGAAGGAATGAAAGCTTGGCGTCTCACTGCCTGTCTCAGCTTGAGGGCCTTGCTCAGCTGAATACATGGGTTGGTTTCTTCTGTCACTGCCTGGGCTGAAAGGCTCTTAAGCTGTTCACATCAGGCTGCAAGGAACAGATTTTTATCACTGTGTCTCTCCTATTTTTTTCATTTTGGAATTTATTCTAGTGCCAGCTCTCCATGACAGACAAGATCCCAGTTTCTTTCTGAGATGGAGGAGTTTGAGCCCCGTTACACTCAGACTCCATTCCTTGCCTCAGTGTTTCACGTTCTCTCTGCCCCCGATATTCCTGTAGGTGAGAATTACATCCCTTTTCAGGGACCGGAGCACAAAAGTGTGACTGCTGGACAAAGGGCATGTGCTCCTAGCATAATAGCTGTTTAAGGGGGAAAAAAATAGGGGGTGAAGTGATTGTGATTAGGCTGGAAAACTAATGAGGGAGAGGGAGAAAAAAAAGAAATCTAGCTTTGAGTGTCCAGCAGAATTTATCCAGGCAAATTAGACCATCCCAAATCCGCTGTGACTAATTACAGGGTCACAGGATGTGACTTTGCTAAAACAAGGGAATGAGCTCAGTAAGCCAGAAGGGTGGGTTTTTTTCTACTTTTTTTTTTGTTCTAAAAAGAAAATAATGCAATTGGAAACAGAAGGGAATCGGGGAAATGGGGCCAAATGTCCTGAGACACTTCTCTTTCCTCTTGTCCCTTTGAAAGTTAAGTCCCTAATCCACCAAAGCACAAACCTGTGATACAGAAATGGATGGTCAGACCTCAGCCCTGCTGCGGGGAAGCAGTGAAAACAAGTGTAACGTAGGACACCTCAGAACTGTGGGAACAGTTGGGTCTCTGTTTCTGTTTTTAACCCCAATAAGAGAACAGGGCTCCTCTCTTCCCCAGCCTTGCTTTGCTTATGCTTCAGAACGATTAGAGAGAGAAACGAGTTCAGCTTTGCTAAACTCATCTTGAAGTAAGAATTTACCACAGAAAATTTCAACCCATCTGAAATGACAGAGGTTATCCTCGGCTATTGCAATGAACTGTGCCAGGTAAAAAGCGTTGTGTTAAAACATTGCTGAAACTAGTTCAGCCAACTGATTTTCAAAGTCTATACTAAGATCTTTAACTAATATGCTGTTGCACTGATAGCTATGAGTTTGTATGACTTCTATTCATTGTTTATTGCTGACTTTTGGAAAGCTTTTCCACAGGTATTAAATCACAACACCACAATCACTAAACAGTTGGTGATGTTAGTAAATTTCTTTTCTTTTTTTTTTCAACTGTCCACTCGCCTATGATTTCTGAGGAGGCAGCTCACTAATAAAGTTTTCCTTGGCACATACGACTTGCAGCTTTGTTAAAAAAAAAATAAAAATCTTAAACTGACATCGTTTCTTAATATCCTACTTCTTGCAGGAGATGATACATAACATCTTTTCCACACTTGACCCAGTTTGAAAAGGCAGGCTATGTGTCTTTTGAGTCTGTAGCTTGGATTACAAGAAAAAAATTAATTAGAATATGGCCTTTGTCTGAGAGGGGAACTGACACGCATTTATTAAAATCTGTAATCCATCACGGTTGAAGATTATAGAAGATTTTTTATGATTCTTATTTTTTTTCTAGATCAGAACCAATATGTGTGAGTAAAGAGATTATCCTAAGCACTTATGTTTTAAATAACTTGTCAGCATGCTAAGATGATGAATGTGATTACAAACATCTCTGGAAGAAACCTTGAACGACAGCTGATTCCTTGGATTATCATTTTAAAATGTCTGCAAAACAGTTTAGGTTGAAAGGAACAGTTATATCAAGATGGGATTTTAGAAAGGAGGATTCCCGTTTCGCTTTTGGTCCTTAGAGGCTTGCAAAACATAGTAGAATTAATTGGCCTAAAAACTACTTTGTATGTACAACTATATGCAACTGCAATTCCATTAACAGAAGGTATCAAGATAATATGCACGAAGTTATTTGAGGCTACAAGCCAATTTTCCTAAAGAAAGGACTGGGGAAGTAGCACACGAGCATTACAGTTTCTTCTGTTGTGTACGAATACGGTGAAGTGCAGAAGTACGCAGTAAGAAGATTATGGTATATGGTTTGGAAATGGCCATAAGATCACAATTAACCTCTCTCGTACAGGCACCCCTAGAGATTAAGAAAGAAATCATGTCT